TTCTTTACACCCATTTTCCACCCTTGCAATCAAACGCACCCTAAGTTTTTTTCTTTCTTGTATTGTTTACAAACTTAAGTGATTTTTTAATTTTTTTTTATAATGCGTGGCAATTGAACTTAATATATTCATACATTGGATTGTGGTGTACTTTTTTTGTTATCTTGAGTTCGTAGTCCTCTTTTAAAAATATTTTTTCATATTTTATTCAAATAGAGCGAGTTTAATATGTGGACTACAATCTTTTGATACTATGTAGTTATTTATTTAATTAGAATTTTTTATGTGAGTTAGTTTTAAGAGTAGAAAATTTTAAGTATTGTTTATAATTAAATTATAGGCTTTAGCATGCTTTACTTAATGATCGAATAATATTTATTAAAAAAAAGTAATTTCTTCTCAAATTAAAAGCAGGGTTTTTCTAAAAGGAAAAACAAATCCTAAAAATGTAAGACAAGCTATAACTTTGCATAGAATATAGATGTCGTGTGTAGAACAACATAGTCGAGGTAAACACAACTACTCGTTTGATGACTCCCAGTAGAGAAAGCTTAAGTCACTTATCCATTCAAACTCTTCTCCTATCTAAAACCCTTAGAATTAGTGAATCCAGGGACAGAGACGTAGCCTACCAACTTCTTGATCAATTGTTTTTGTTCTTGATCAACGCCAGGGGTAGACCCAGCTCCTGGCCAGCCCCCTCGGCCGCCCATGCTGGATCCACCGGGAGCTTTAAGTCGCCAACTCGTCGACGTCGTCCGCCAGGAAAAAATGAAGAAGGCAGCTGAATCTTTTTTCCCTTTTTTATTGTTCATTTGTTTGGGCCTTGTTTTAAAACAATAAGGCCCAATGAATTGGGCCATTTTCCAACCCATTTCCACGAACAAAACCAAATCTAAATGTCCAAATTCCAAAATTTAGAGAACCGGCAGTCAGCAGAGGAGGGAGACAACCAGGGGCGATTGGCATATCCACTGCACTGCGGAGTGCCCCTGCTGCTGTGCCTATCTATGAGTTGGTCGTCTGCCGAGTTGCCAACTACGCCTAGCCTCTCCGCCAGACCGCCACTAGCCTTCACAACTTTGCTGGTGTGAGTCTGCTCGACTGCTCATCCTGTCATCTTTTTTTTTTTTTT